CGAGTCCTCAGAGTTTGGAGATTGCTTCGATCAAGTCTAACATCAGGACCGTGGAAGTAGTTGCAACGCCGACCCCTATCGTGGAGTGTGGTGGGGATAATCAGGATGTGGAGCCTGATTTACGCGAAGTTGAAGAAGACCATGAAAATATGGAACTAGATGAAGAAGATGACGACGAAAACCACTGGAAAAGGATGGTGGGCGAAGTCACGGATGTGAAAAGGAGCGGAGGAAGCTGGTACGAGGACGAAGAACCGGCACCCAAAAGCCGAAGAGTCGAGTATTCTGAACCAATAGTCACTGGTCGTATCTCGTTCGAGTCGTGCGGGAAAAGTTGAAAAGAATGAATTCAATCCCTAGTGACAGGAACTGCGCGTTTTGTGGCGCAGTGGGCATCCACTTTTCTGATGCATGCCCTCGATTTCGGAATGGAAAGACGCGTTAACGAGATCGTTCAAAAGAAATGGTGCCTCCACTGCCTCGAGAGTCCAGAGACAGATGCAGATATCGCCTCAGGAAATGTTGGTTCTGTGTCAGACTCAGAGGCACGGTCTTTGAGGAGGATAATGGATTCTACCATAGCGCAGTTTGCAATGTTCCGGATTTGAAGTTCGTCGCCTCGTTCACGCGTTGAGGACACCCAGAGAGAGTTGTGGCAACTTATGATGAGCGAGCCAGATCCACACGGAGGAGGAGGAGACCATGTTGAGTCCGGAGTGACGACAACGTCGTCAAGAACTCGGCGTGGTAACCAGTGATGATCTACCGATCGCGCGCCAAGGAGTGGTTTATAGGATGAATGAAGAGCCTATGAGGACTACATTCTACATTCTACCTTCGACTTTATTCACTCTGCATTCTTTTTGAATATTTGGTGGTGGTACATTATTACCTTATGAACATTGTTTGTTCTTCAGAAGCGAGTTCCTAATAAATTGTGTGTTGCTTGCTTGGCCTATTGGTGGACTAAACGCGTGTCTTCGTGTGACATCTGTATTCTACTACTGATTCTCCTTATATGAAGTATGTATCAAAAGTGAACACCATGTAATCGATCTTCAGG